ATATTTTCTATGGGACATTATACTACAAAATACTCCCACACATGCGGGTCATTGATTGAAAGCAAGATTTGTTAATTTGCGCACACAAAAAAGTATTTTTCCTATCAAATTAATTCATGATTCAAAAATGAATACGCCCCAATGGAAGTCTTAGGAGCAAAGCTACATTTTTACAACAAAAACCTAATTAACAAGAATTCAACTACAGGTGAGTCTAACAGGGTGTTGGAAATTTTTGGAAAAAACTACTTGTCCAGGGACTAAATCAGTGCCCCAATCTCCTTTCCCTCATAATAATTTACTTGTCCTGGTAAAAAAAAAAAATTTTTATGGCAACTTAAACGTTTAATATTTTTAACATTGCGCTGTTTATCTCCTCCTCCTCTCCCTGCCTGTCTCTAGCACCGCATTCGAGGACTAGCGGGGAGGGGAGACACCTTGCAGTGTAATGAGCACCTCTTGGGTGCTCGTCAGGAAAGGGGAGAGTCAGGCTTATCCTTTATCCCTTTCACTGCCAGAATTGTTTTTTGTGGGGGTTTTTTTGCACAAGTTTAAAAAAAATCATTTATGGCCTGAAGATTACACAAACCCCCAAACATGATATATTTTCTGAAATCAGAGACCCTAGAGAATAAAATAGCAGTAGTTCCAATTTTTTATGTCACACAATATTTTCACAAAGGTCTAGGAAATTCAAACTTTCAGTAAAAAATACACTAAAGTTAATTTTAGGTCGCAAAAAGCAATAAATTATCTAATTGTTTTGTAAAATATAAAAGACGAGGGCGCATCGAGTAAATAGATATCCAACATGTCCAACTTTAAATTTATGCGCGCTTGTGAAATGGCAACAAACTTTAGTAACCCTATATTTTCTATTGGTGATGCTTTTAAATCTCCTTATAGGTCATCATCTTTTTAGCGTTACGGAGGAGGTCTGGTGCTAGAATTATTGCTCTCACTCTGCCGTGCTTGGCGACATGTAATGTGTACCGCAATCGTTATTTTCTTGCGTAGGTGCCCCAGCACTTTTACATTTGTATGCGTGTACATATGTGGGGGGCTTGAAAAATTGTGTGGGGGGGTATTATATGCTTGGGTGTAACGTACATTTTTTTTTATCACATAGGGGACATTTGTCCCCTATATGATGATTTTTGGCGACAGGTTCTCTTTTTTGAGACATGCAGAGCCTAAGAGACCCTGCATGTCTCCCCTGTTCTCCATTGAATGTAATGCAGTGCATTATTTCCTTATCGAGGCCATCTGTCAACGGTGACCCGGAAGTGACGTCATATCACTTCCGGGTCATGACAAGAAGGGGTGGGAAGCGGATGTGTCCACTCTCCTTCCTCCCCTATACATGCCAGCAGCCACTGAACTGGTCCCAGGTCCGCAGATGGGCAAGCAGAGCCCAGGAGACAGCTGGTGGGGGGACGGAGGCTGGCACCATAGTGTACTGTGTGGAAGCAAATGGGCGGCAGTGCTGCCTCTCGAATGCTTCCACCTGACAGATGAGCCCTACTGCTTACCTGCAGCAGTGAAAAAAAACCTACCTGTCTTTGTGCCCGAAACCACATGTCCTGGGCGTCGGACAATATAAATTGAACATTCCTGGTCTAATTATTAAACAGGTGTGCAGCAGTCAGTTGATTATAAAATGGCGTTACTTAACAAGGAAAACCCCTTCCCATTTTATGCTGTCAGCAATGGTACCACATGGAAGAGAAATGTCACCAGGCCTGAGAAAGAAAATAATTTCTTTACACAAGAAAGGTGAAGGCTATAAGAAGATCAGCAAAGTTTTACTTATCAGTCAGAATACTGTAGCAAAAGTGATACAAAAAATTTAACAAAGATGGAACTGCAACCATCTCACAGAGACATCCAGGTCATCCAAAGAAATTAACAGCTCAACAGGAGCGTCTTCTGCTGAGAAGGGTTGAAGAAAATCGCCATGCAAGTTCACTGCAGTTAGCTAAAGAAGTAGACAGCCAAGCTGGGGTGATCATTTTCCGTGACACAATATACTGCAGAGGAATGGCATGCATGGGTGTTGTCCATGAAGCAAGTCTCTCCTAAAGCCCATGAACAAAAAACCCGCCTAGAATTTGCCAGGGCCCATGCTGAAAAAGAAGACTAATAGGACTCTGAAGTGATGAGGCCAAGATAAATGTTTTTGGAGTTGATGGCTTCAAAACTGTATGGTGTAGCAAAGGTGAGAAGTACAAAGAAAAATGCATGGTGCCTACAGTGAAACATGGTGGTGGCAGTGTCCTTCTGTGGGGCTGCATGAGTGCTGCTGGTGTCAGGGAGCTGCATTTCATTGATGGTATCATGAATTCACAGATGTACTGCTCTATATTGAAAGAGAAAATGCTACCATTACTCTGTGCCCTTGGTCATCGCACACTTTTCCAACATGACAATGATCCAAAACACACATCGAAGGCCACTGTTGCATTTCTGAAGAAGAACAGGGTGAAAGTGATTCAGGGGCCAAGTATGTCTCCTGATCTGAACCCAGTCAAACACCTATGGGGAATTCTGAAGAGACAAGTTGAGCATGACTCTCCATCCAGCATCCAGGATCTAAAAGAGGTCGTTCTTGAAGAATGGAAAAAGATACATATGCAGTATGTTGTCAAGTATTCATTCCATGCCTAGAAGACTTGGTGCTGTCCTTACAAATCATGGAGGTTATACAAAATACTAGATGTAGTAGTTTTTGTTGTGGGGTGTATTCATTTTTGCATCAACTAATTTCAGTAAAACTGAAGATTTTGTAATTTAAGTTATATTATTAAACTTACTTTCATGAGCTAAACAAATGTTCTATGAAACTCAGATTTAGCAAAATTTTGGAAATTCTTCTTGTGTTCATTGAGATATTTAAAATCTTACTTTTCAAAAGGGGTGTACTCATTTATGCTGAGCACTGTACATAGATAAAAAGAATTGCAGAAAACATTAATACATGATTATTTTGTTCTTGCACATATAAGCCAAATGCTATATCATATTGTATCCAAAAAGCTTGACGTGTTTCGTGGATCTCAGTCCACTTCCTCAGGAACAGATGCAGAGTAGAAATAAATACAGAAAGAAATAATGATAGTATGATATTGTTTAACAAATTGTGCTATAATTCAAATAGATAACCCTAATACCTACAGACCAGCTCAAAAGGGAAGTGACAACACCTGTGAAATATGTCCTCGGGGACGTCTTCCCCGGGAGCTGTGGCAGTAGGATCTGCAAAGTTCAAAAGGGACCGGTGGAAGGCAGACCAAAAATTGGTTAGATGTAAGTCCATAAAATGATCCATAATAACACCCACAGCGATACAAGTTATATCTGTGAAAAATATGAATTATAATTATTCTGAGGCTGGATAAAAATCGATCATTTAAAAAAAAAAATTTGGATTTTTTTAATTTTTATCAAATTTATTTTAATACAATGCTTTAGGAGTAAAAATCTGTCTAAATATAGTTTTCTATTTAATGTGCATTAATAATTTAGTTTAATCAGCATGAAATGGAGCTTAGTTATGTAGCATGAGGCTGTATATTCTGCAATATTTACATTTTTGGTAAACTCTTTTAATGAATCCAAGCTCTACAAGCTGAGATAACATGCATTGCATTGATGCATTCACGCAATTTCACAGTAACCACGAGAAAAAACATGAAATAAAAGAATTTGAGAAGTTCTCCGACTATGTGTGATTAACCTAAAATCGGTTTTGATATCGCTGTTTTACTAACCTGACAGCTTATTATTCTGAAAAGGAAACCTTCATTTGGTTTGCAAATATTAAAGATTCTAACTACCAGCAAGAATGAGTCTGAGTCCTTATATTTAAAGAGCACCTCTCATTTTTGATCCATCATGGCAGCGCCTGTGTGCGGGCATCCACTCACCTGCTGCCGCCACGTCCCTCATCTTTTTGTGTCACTGCCGCATCACCAGCTGTCCCATTAAACTGAATGGGACTGTCGGTGAATCAAAAGCGGGTCAGAAGCGGAGCCGCTGCGGGACAGAGATGACAGTTGCCCTATAAAAATTATGATAGGATTTAAATCGAGCCTTTTCACTAGTGATTTAAATAAGCGTGATTTAAATCAAATCCACCCTGCTGTGAGATAAGTGTATAAATATAAAAGTAGTGTAGGTCACCTTTTGACTGCAGTATAGACCAAAGAAGTTAAAGAAAAGGGGATGAAGAGAAAACCAAGTCCTTGAAAAGACAATAGAAATAAAACTAGAACCAATATTGGATAAAGCCCAAGGTAGGACATATCCAATAGAGTAACAGCGTAAGCAGAAAAGTGTAGAAAATTGGTGAAAAGAAATATTAATCAGTGCCACGATTATGTTGCATGCCAAAATTGAATCCATAAGAGTAGGAATAAACCATAAGCAATATAGGATTAAACTCCAGACACAACCCATCTAATGAAAGAAAGGAACCAGAAAAAGTATAGAAAAGAAAATATAATAAAGCAAATATAAAGGACAGATACCATGATATGCATATCGAAGCTGTAATCCAGGGTATGGTCAATACTATCCCAAACACCATGCAGGAAGAACACATTGGATCCACCAGTACCACCAGTCGCAATGAAACAGCAAATCCCTCCCAGCGCCATGATTTACTGCCACAAAGGAGGAAGGGGGAAGTGCTAGCACAAGGCGGTATAAACCACCAAAGCAAGATGGCTTGCTATGCACGGTGTCCCACGTGGCAAAATGGATGAATGACACTCATCAACGTCATGACATCATGCGTATTGATGCCATGCGCTACACATCTAGACCCTTGTCATTCCTCCCCAAGGCTGTCTTCTCTGGCTCTTTTCCCTCAACTCCTGCCTGTCCTCTATGGCCCTTGTTCTCCCCCCCATCAATCATGACCGTGTGACAGTTTACTTAAATGGAAGTCAAATATTAACATAGTGAACACACCTTGAGATGATTTCTTCTCATGCCAGGTACCAAGGTCCCCTGTTGGATGAGGCGAGTCTAGGTCCGGCTTTAGAAGGCGGTCTGTCATCTCCCGAATACTGCCAGCTCTTGTGTTGGCTCAGCTCTCAGATACAGTTACTAGGTAACTTAGAAGAAAGTGTCAGCTCTGAAGGTAAGTACTTCATCTCAACTGAGAAACAATTACTGCACATAAAAGTGCAGTGAACATTTTAACAGATGCTTGGATCTCTGAATGCTTGAATGGCGCCACCTCCCTTTAGCATGCCCCAAACTGGAACCTACTTCTTTTACTTTGGAAAACAAAACATAGTAATGTATTACCATGCATTGCAGGTGTTATAATGAATGGCACTGCAATGTACTGACACATGCATGTTGCAGCACCATGCCTTACTGCAGCGCACAAGTGTGATTCAGGACAGAATGGAAATTGAGTTTTTTGTGCAAATTCTCTTGATTTAAAAACATGCTTACAAAATGGTGTCTTGTCCTGCTAACGCATCTTGGTGCACCCCAATCTGCACCTGACACCCCCCCCCCCCCCTTTTTTTTTTTTTTTAGACTTGATGTACACAGATGTTTCTTCAATGCATTGCACTTCTTTTCACTGTGTGTATAAAAATTACCCCGACTCGGCAATCCTTCACTGCTCCTTTTATCTGTCATAGTTGCCATTGAAATACCTGGTGTCAGAGACTAGGAGTGGTGACATCATCCCCTCCATCATGTGATGGTGCCTGAGCACTGCATTATGTAAGATCACATGTTCAGCCATACTTGGAAGCACCAGCTATTTTGTGCTGACTGCAATGGAAATGTTTGAGAAGTCAGCAGCTTTGTACAGAAATTGTCACTTTGACCTGTATGAGTGAAGTGACAGCGTATCCTTAAACATGACCATTCCGAATAACAAAGCGGAGCTAAAGTGGTTAATACTCGCCTTTCCAACGGTCCTATGCCAGCATCTTCTATGTGCCAGTCTTCAGCTATCTTCATTGGCCAGCACAGAGTGATGTCATTCCTGCACATGCGCAGGAGGCGTCATTCCAGCACACAGAGATCAGCCCGGTTCTGTAAGTTGAGCTGTGCATGCACAGCTCAGTTCAGCACCACAGAAGACAGCGAGCAGGAGGATAGGAACATTTTATTGCAGAAGAGACATTGCTTGTCTCTTCTGCAATAAAAGCCTGCCTGCTCGCTGTTTGTTACAGTGAAACTTTAGTTCTTTTTTTAAATCTTCACCAGTGCAAAAAAAATCTCTGACAGGCTCTATTCTTGTGCTGCCAGTGTGATTTTTTTTTTTTTTTTTTTTTTTTTAATTCTTTATTTTTGTTGAGTACTAAAGGAACAGCACATGCCCATTGTGAAAGGTTTAGTAGTTTAAAATTCACTGGTTATTCAAAATAAAATTCAATTTAAAAACAGCTGTGCTTCTTAGTAGTGTGTTGTATTGCAAGCATGTTGCAATAATTGTAACCTGTCATAGGCAAGCATTGGTTCCCTTCTGTTCTCATTTTCCATTTTATATGAAATGGACTTATGGAAAATCTGTGTAGAATAAAATGTGTAGTGTAGGTAAGGTAGAATGAAAAGGAGAGAGTAAGAAGAGTGAAAGGGGGTGGGAAGAAGTGAGAAACGAAGGATGGGGAAGGGGTGCTTGGAGGGATGGCTAGAGGAGCAAAAGGGATGGAGACTTGACCAAGTAAGGGAACTAGGGAAATTGATGCCAAGATATTCACCGGTTTCTTTTTGTTTGAGGTACTGTTGCCTCTTTTGAGCGCATGGTGATAATATTAAAAACCACTATCTGTTACCCATAATAGGTGGAGACTTGGAGAGTACGCAGTTGGAAATAAGTGGATTCTTAAAGGAGCTCTCTTGCCCATATCCTTCTCTGGTATCTGGAGATATCAAAAGCCGACTCCAAAACAAGGAAGATTGTCTGAAATTGCTGTGTAAGTACATTAAGAACACCTGCATATGAATTAAGTGATATTTAAACTTAAATGAAATAAAACCCATTAATTCATCTGACTCCCCAGCTTTTTAGACCTTTTTTAATCTTCTCACACCATATGTCCCAGTATTCTTAGGTACAGAACTTCAGGCCATACAGATCCTACAGACCAAGAAGTCGAGTTGCTTAGCTCCAAGCGATGCTGTGAATAAAGAAATAAAAGTTATTTTTGAAGCTCTCAGATTGCCTCTGTCATCAACTTCAGATGTTGTAAGCCAGTTAAAAAGTGTGCAGGAAAAGGTAAGAAACTTATATGAAATATTTTAGCTTTCATGTATATTCACTTACCTACCTGTACTGCTTCCTCTGTTCAAGTGCTAAGACATGGGTAGTAAAGCAAAAAACACATTTTGTGGAAAGCTTGACTCTTGTGACTCATATTAGATTTTTGCCAATGATGTCACTCTTCACAAGCGGAACTAATGTCTAAAAATACTACCCTCCAGCATCCAGCAATGTGGCAGTTACATTCCTCGCTGGCCATTGTCATCTACTCCCAGGTCACTTCCTAGTGTCAGGTTTTCGGCCTCTGAATTGGCGATTGAGGGGTGCTGTCAATCCGTACATGTGCACGGGAGCCAGTTATTCCAGCACAGCTGAAGTGTGCCTGAAATGCACGCTGAGCTGCACATGTGCAGCTCCGTGTACATTCAGTAGAAGACTGCAAGCAGGAAAGTAATTACCGTATTTTTCGCCGTATAAGATGCACTTTTTCTTCCCCAAAACTGGGGGGGAAATGTCAGTGCGTCTTATGGAGCGAATATGGAGCGGCCGGTCCAGTATTTCCACCGCGGCCGTGTCAGAATACCGGGCCGGCCGCTCAGCTCTGCAGCGGGACCTTGCCTGTTCCTCTATCCAGCGGCGTGCTGTCTTCCCGTCTTCTGTAGTGTGGGCACTGGGCATGACAGCCGGGTGCCAAATGCGCAAGAAGCTGTGCTTTTTGTGAATGGTAAGGCGGTACCTGGGACACATGACAGATCCCAGAAGCCGCCGGACCAATCACAAAGCGCAAGTGCTTCTTGCTCATGCGCACTGGGCACCCGGCTGTCATGCCGAGCGCCATTACAGAAGCCGGGAAGACAGCGCGCGGCTGGATCGAGGAACAGGTAAGATCAAACAAAAACTCTGCGGAAGTAAGAGCGGGTACCTGTCAAATTCAGGTACCCGCTCCCCACCTCCCCAAAGGTCAGCAGTCATCTGTACTGTCCGCAGTCTCTGGTCATCCCTGTGCTGTCCGCAGTCTCTGGTCATCCCTGTGCTGTCCGCAGTCTCTGGTCATCTCCTGTACTGTGTCTGCAGTCCATTACTTCAGAATTTTTTTTTCCTGTTTTCTGCCTCTAAAACCTAGGTGCGTCTTATGGTCAGGTGCGTCTTATACGGCGAAAAATACGGTATGCGTAATTGCAGAAGAGACATAGTGTCTTTTATGCAGTAAAAAGCTGCCTGATAGCAGTCTTTTAAAAGTTAGGTTTAGCTTCATTTTAATCTAGTTAGGTTTTACTTTACCGTTGCCCCTATACCAGTCCAGGGAGAGAAGAGAGAACACACTGAGTAAAAGTGCCACATTTTACACACACATGTTAAATTGACACATTTAACATTTTGATCATCCCTTCACCCAGACAGTGTCAGAATATAGAGGTTTTTCTCTGATCACTTTATTACTGCCACTAGTGACATCATAATGTCAGGGTCTGTAAGCACCCCTCCCTGCCAGGGTCAACTAGCGTTAGATTGCCTGCACATTATCGCACTCATGTTATAGGTCGCTGATCGCCGCCATTACTAGTATAGCGTGTGTACAGATCAATATATTGATCGTGAACAGAACTATATTGGTGCCTTCTTAGTATAGTGTTCCCATAAATGCAATGTTTGCAGGATCTGCCCCATTTGCTGACAGCACAGCGTTCAGCCCCTGCCCTGTTTTTCACGGAAGATTTTTTTTCTGAATTGATTGTTGGCCAAAGTAATGTATATGCACAACAACACACCGCCGCCCACCCAAATTTAGCTATTGCCAGCCAATTCGCATGGAAACCTATCATGGTTTCTGAATTCAAAACTTTTTTGGGCCTGACCCCAAACATGAGCATTACAAAAAAGAATGAATTGCGATCATATTGGTCCACAGACCTGATTCATCATATGTATATGATGTATATGTGTTCACTGCTGTTACATATATGCCCAACCTGGACCAGCGACGTACTAGTATGTCATTGGACTTTGAGTGGTTATGAAAGGACAATGCTTGCAGCTACATTTTTTTTTTTTTTTTTTTTTTCTTTTCAGCTGGTGGTCAGCTTTTATGTAAAAGCAATCCTAATTGCTAATTAGACCACTGGATCACTTTTACAAGCAGCGGGAAGGGAAGCCCCTCCCGCCGCCGTCCATGGCTTTTACGGGCTCTCCCGTCCCACCGAAGAACCCGAGAATGCAGCCGGCAGTTCTGCCGACTGACCATAGAGCTAATCAGACACCGGAATGGCTCCACTCATCTCTATAGTCTAAGAAACCAGAAGCAATGATTATTTCATCATTTCGGTTTTACCTGATATAAACAGCGCCATTTTAAAATTGGGAAAGCATCTGATAACACCAATCTTTGGGCAGGGGAGAGATCTGGAGTCTAATAGACCACAGATTTTTCAGAAAAGAGTACCTATCACTGCCTCTTGCTATAATTTAGCTATTTACATTACACAGGGAATTTGAAATCCCCCCCCCCCCCCCGGTGTGTAAACAGAGATTTCACCATGCATGTGAGATATCAACATGAATGTCAGAGGGCATTAAATCTAAAGTGGTAACTGTGACGGGCGCGGCTTCAGACCCCAGCCCTTCTCACCATACTCGTGACCAAAGGACTAGCCAATCTAAAACCGTGCTGTCACGTGCGTAACAATGCCATGCCCAGCTGCACCCTGCACAATGATTTTCCAGCTAATTGGACCACAATCTATGTACCGGCAGCCTGGGAGCGATTGTTACTGGGTCAGGTTAATTACGCAATTAACCCTTTACACTGCCACCACCTCCTTTTTATACAGAGAAAGAGGAAACTCAGCAATACACTAGGATGATTGGTTAACCGTCAGTATCCCGCTATCTCTACAGACCGGTTATACAGAGGGTTAAATACTCATGGTAGTGTTCTTCAGCGGCAGGGACTCGTAAGTTACATTCAGGAGCTATAGAAACAGTTCAACACTTTTAGAAAGTAAGATTTAATACTAAAAGGTCAAAAGGGTGCAGTAGAAATATTTACAGAAAGAAGATGTAACCAATATATGTATATATAAATATACAGAGCACAACAGCACAGTAAACAGATAACAGAAAGAAGTTTAGGTAAATAAGTACTTGCCAAATATATGCCTGGGGTTAGCAGATCAAGTTTCAGAGCAGAAGGGTGCTTTGATCTCCCCTGTTTCGATGGTCAATGGGAGAATTCTTCAACTCTTTCTCTGCAAGATGTTGCACACAGCAAGTTCTCACTTCTCCCACTCACAAAACATAAACACTACTTTTTTCTACTCAAAATCTCTTCCCACAGTGGACAAGCCAAGGCTTATTTGCAAAGAATTGTTAGGCAGCGACTCCGCATCATACGCTGGTTGCATTCCTGAGGGAGGGGGAATGATGAGATACATGAAGCCTTCTTAATACAGGGAGAGCCTGTGCCTGGCTCTTGTATGAACGATACTACACCTCCCCCCCCCCCCCCCCCCTCAGGTGATGGCATATGAGTGTGAGAGCAATACCAAAATGTATAAGTTTGGGGCAAAATGGAGAACCGCACCTCTCCCTGTGGGCATGATTGTGACAGTAACCTGTAAAGGCTTTTAAAGCGTCGCCTATGGACATTACAAATTTGCATAGTCTGTTGCCGTTGCATGGACGTGCACAGTTTTAAAGCATGGCATGTTTGGTATCTATTTATTCAGCATAACATCCTCTTTTATATTTTATAAAACATGTGGGCAATATATTGTTTTGCACATTAAAATTCAAAACTACTGTGACATAAAAAACATAGCAAAACCCACCATTTTATTCTCAGTTTTAAAGCAATATATAATGTTTGGGGGGTCAAAGTAATTTTCTACCAAAAAAAAATGTTTTTATGTAAAGAAAAAGTGTCAGAAAAGGCTTGGTCTTCAAGTGGTTCGAAGAGTTGGTGATGTGTGGCATAAGCTTATAATGTTGGGCATAAAATTCCTGAATAGTAGAAGCACCCACCCCAAATGACCTTTTTTTGGAAAGTGGACACTCAAAGGTATTTGCTAAGGGGCATGCTGAGTATTGCAGATCTCATTTGTTGCCACAAGCTTTTGAAGAAAGAAAACGAAAATGTATTTTTTTCTTTTCTCTTTTTCAAAATCCTGTGACAAAAAATATTTGAAAAATACTCATCATGCCTCTTATCAAAATTGCTTGGGGTGTCTACTTTCCAAAAAGGGGTCATTTGGGGGTTGTTTGCATTATCCTGACATTTTAGGTCCTTTGAATCTGTGATAGGAAGTGACATGAGGAAATATGCCCTTTGAAAGCCTGAAGGCAGTCATTCGATTTTCGGGTCCTGTACTTGGCTAGACTGCCAAAATGTTTCACACATTTGGTATCCCCATACTCAGGAGAAGTAGCAGAATGTGTTTTGGGGTGTTATTCCACATATACCCATGGCATGTGTGAGCAGTAAATCATTTAAGTAACAACTTTTGTGTAAAAATAAAAAATGTACATATTGAGTAAAATACTTATTGAAATGACATTTTAAAACAATACATGGCTAACTAAACCGAATAGTATCGGCATTCTCTTCTATAGCATTATATCCTCCAAAGGTCGACGCGTTTCGCTTTATTAGCTTCTTCTGGTCCATAAAAAAATTGGAGGCGAAGAGTCAAATGCCTTGGCTAAGAAAATATACATATACACACATACATAAATAATTTAATCATGCAATATAAATTCCACAAGAGACATAAACCTTAAAAAATAAATATACACGTATTGGAATTTTTTTTAACCAAAGACCTGTAGCAGAATGCCTTTTGGCCTAAATTTATGATTAAGTTTGAGTTTTTTCATTTATATCACAAAAAATAAAAAATCCAGTGGTGATCAAATACCATCAAAGGAAAGCTCTATTTGTGTGGGGAAAAAAGGGCATACATTTAGTTTGGGTACAGCATTGCATGACCACACAATTACCAGTTGAAATAGCACAGCTCTGAATATCATAAAATGGCCTGGTCAGGAAGGGGTGTAAGTCTTCCGGAGGGCAAGTGGTTAAGGTTAATGGAATTGCAAAGCCCCCAATATGTCAGTGACCTGGAAACAGGCACAACAGAATCTAGCACCGTTCAGTATTCAGGGGTGTGAAAATTTAAAAAAAAAAACAAAAAAAAACTTCTTGTCCAAGGGACTAAATCGGGATCACAATCTACTTGTCCAGATGAAAATAAAATGTTTTTGCCAGGATGAAAAATGTGAAGGGTGTGTTTTTTTTCTTTTGTTAGGCGGAGGTGCTTTTAATGTCTGGGGCTTTGAAAAGGGACTTTATCGCTGCTTAACATTTAATTTCTTACATCTTTTTGCTAGAAAATTTCTTATAACCCCCCCAAACATTATATAGCTTTTAAATAAGAGGCCCTAGAGAATAAATTGGTGGGTGTTGCAATTTTTTATGTCGTACAGTTTTTTTAAATTTTAATACACTTTTGGTAAAATATAAAAGATGACGTTAAGCTGTGTAAATAGTTACCAACCATGTCACACTTTAAAATTGCACACGCCCGTGCAAACGCAATAAACTATGTACATTTTTACTATCCATAGGCAATGTGTTAAAAACCTTTACAGGTTACCACATAAGATTTACAGAGGAGTCCAGTGCTAGAATTACTGCCCTTGATCTGACGTTTGCAGTGATACCTCATATATTTGGGACAATCGCTGTTTGCAAAAAATTGTGTATATTTTTAAGCAAATTCAAGTTAAAGGAATCCATTGGAGCCCCACAGCTCACCATAACTAGGGACCCTGTTGGAAGATTTCCCCTCTATTACTGTTCTGTGAACAACCCAAAATGTGGGGTTTCTTTTACTTTGGATAATGGTATTCCAGACAAGTGGAGAGGGTAAATCTCCCTAATGGGAGTACAGACAGCAATAAAAACTTGACAGATGTTGTAACCCTTCTCAACTCTATCCAAAACTTACAAAAAAAAGTTTTGCCTTTAGTTATACTTTAATGAGTTTTCAGTGAAATGATTTTCCAAATGTGTTTTCCTATATGTGACCATATCTAATGGGTTACCCAATCCAAAAGAAAATGGCTTTATATAATATGAGGAGCAAGTCCGTGCAATACGGATGTCATCGTGAACATTTTAAAGTAAATTGTGCACATAGCCTTTATTTTCTGAGCACCCAGAAGCTGGCCTTTGCTTTTGCTGAGAGAGTCTATGGCTGGCAAGTCCTCTACTGTTACCAGAGGGAAGCATTGAAGCAAGCAGCTTTGCATAAGAGCAACAACAATATTCAGATCATCAGCAATGACAGCTCACATATTTTTCATGATAGGTTTTTTGTAAGAACAGAGGAAGCATTTGCTTCCTTTTGACGGAATAGAAGAGTCTCTTAAACATTTGAATTTTAGCTTTGGCTATGTGGCTTCGAGGATTTGTTCAGTCTTTTTTAAAGATTTTATCACTTCCCAGGTTTTTAGTTGCTAGAAATATTACGCTTAACAAGGAATTTAAGAAAGCTGAGATTTTTAAGGCTTAACTCATATTCTAAAGGAAAATATACTTTATTTGTAACTGACAGTTTTAATTTTCAACAGGAAAAAAGAATGTGTACGAAATTCCATATCTTATATTTATATTGTCTGTTTTATCTTATTCGCAGGTTACAGAGTTATTGTCAAAAGCTCCGTCAAATAGCACTAACAAGACTCTTCTTGGTGTGGAACTGAATGCAGAACAGTTGGTGAGAAACGAATATAGAAAAATAAGTGAAGATTACAATAAACAAATATAGTAACCCTAACATTTAAGTCGTTTTGCTAAATGATGAGTCAAGTGTTCAAATGGTCCTATTTCCACTCCTACAAACTGACTTAACATCTGAAAAAATTATTAAACCCTGCCCCACCTACTGCAGCCAGTGTTAAGTATCATATGCAAATATTAACTGAAAGTCATGTTTTAATCTGATAATGAGACTGTGTACAAAAAGTTTATTTTTTATGTTTTTCTGAATAGTTCAGTGAACAGTCTTGGAGTTACCGTTTAGGTTGCTGCAGAGTATTTGGGCTGATCCTTCTGCCAGTGTTGGGGAATTAAACATCATCTGTTTAAATCCAAATCTGATACCTACCTATCATCATTTTTACCTTTTACCTGTTGTACCAACAACACCAGCTAAATTGTCAACCAAGCCATCTTTGCCTTGACATTTTGTCTTGTGTTGAAAATCAGAAAATGGTTGCGGTGAGACAGAATACTTTTGATGGTCTATTAAAATGTGGTTTGATCTGTCCTTTTCCCGTGTGACAGTGCTTGGGCCTGTGGTTATTGGCCTCTCAGTGCTGTCTTGTGGAAAGAAGGGAGGACAGACACATGAACCTGTGGGGTTTTTTTTTTTTTCCCTGTTGGTGGGGAGTCTCTTTTCTCCTCATCACTTCTCCTTCCAGCTCAGTATTGCAGATTACACAGAGAGTTTAACTCCCTGTGTCATCAGTGGATTTCCAGTGTTATGACATCCACCTGCTCTGTATCAGTAGCTTTGTGGGCTCCTGATAGATTGAGCACAGCAAATTGTTGTCACCAGCTCTGCTGATTACAAAGGGAAAGCTTTGCTCTTCCAGTGAAATCTGCAAGACTGAGATGTCAGTGTGACAAGCCAGTTCTAGTATAGACGTATTAAATTAAAGCTGTTGATGTAGTGTTTGTGTATGCACAGTGCTCAGCATAAATGAGTACACCTCTTTTGAAAAGTAAGATTTTAATCAGTATCTCAATGAACACAAGAACAATTTTCAAAGTTTTGACAAAACTGCGTTTTTAGAGAACATTTGTTTAGTTCATTACATGAAAGTAAGGTTAATAATATAACTTAGATTATAAAATCTTCAGTTTTACTCAAATTTTTTGATGCAAAAATGAATACACCCCACAACAAAAACTACTACATCTAGCTTTTTGTATGACCTCCATGATTTGTAATGACAGCACCAAGTCTTCTAGGCATGGAATGTCAAGTTGGCGACACAATGCAACATCTATCTTTTTCCATTCTTCAAGAATGACTTTTGTTTTAGCCTGGATGTTGGATGGAGAGTGATGCTCAACTTGTCTCTTCCAAATTCCCAATAAGTGTTGAATTGGGCTCAGATCAGGAGACATGCTTGGCCACTGAATCACTTTCACTCTTTCAGAAATGCAACGGTGGCCTTAGATGTGTGTTTTGGATTATTGTCATTTTGGAAAAGTGCACGACAACCAAGGACACGGAGTGATGGTAGCATCTTCTCTTTCAATATAGAGCAGTACATCTGTGAGTTCATGATACCATCAATGAAATGCAGCTCCCCAACATCAGCAGCACTCATGCAGCCCCACAGAAGGACACTGTCACCACCATATTTCACTGTAGGCACCATGCATTTTTCTTTGTGCTCCTCATCGTTGTGGCGCCATTCAGTTTTCAAGCCATCCAGTTCCAAAAACATGTAACTTGGTCTCATCGCTCCAGAGTACAGAGTCCCAGTAGTCGTCTTCTTTTTCAGCATGGGCCCTGGCCAGGGGCGGATTGACAACTCATGGGGCCCCCGGGCAGTAAGAGATAATGGGGCCCCCTGTTCCCCTGCCTACACTCAAACCACACCCACACACCCTACCTACATATTGCAGCTCAGGTGCATAGAAGTGGCATTTAAATATTTACTGCAGCAAAGACTGCATGAATGTTCCCGGCTTATTTCCGTGGAAGCCACTGGGCACTTTCAGGTTTAAAGATGGCTGCCATGTGGGGGAAGCGAAAAGAGAGGGGAGTGAGAGGGTGAAAAAAAGGAGGAGTGTGAGAGAGAGAAAGCAGAGGAGTGAGAGAGGAGAGATTGTTTTTTAAATTGCGCTAAAAATTGGGCATGGGTTAAAAGGGGTATGGGTTAAATAGGGAATGTACAGTGTGGAGTGTATGACAGTGGGTAGTATGTGTAGGATGGTGTCAGTGGTTCTCCATTTTTATTATTATTATTTTTTTTTTTTTTTTTACAAATGTTTTTTATTATTTTTATCATTATTTTTTTTTTTTCAAAATGCTTTTGGGTGGCCAGTGGATGGTGTCAGTAGAGCAATGGCGTGGGTGTAAAACATTTTTTATTTTTATTATCTAATGTAATTATTTTTTACAATTTATTTCTGCATTATTTTTTTCACAATGATTTTGTGGGGGCAGTGGACAGTGTCAGTAGGGGGCACTAGTATACAGTCAGGTCCATAAATATTGGTACATCGACACAATTCTAACATTTTTGGCTCTACACCACCACAATGGATTTGAAATGAAACGAACAAGATGTGCTTTAACTGCAGACTGTCAGCTTTAATTTGAGGGTAATCAGGTGAACGATGTAGGAATTACAACAGTTTGCATATGTGCCTCCCACTTGTTAAGGGACCAAAAGTAATGGGACAGAATAATAATCATAAATCAAACTTTCACTTTTTAATACTTGGTTGCAAATCCTTTGCAGTCAATTACAGCCTGAAGTCTGGAACGCATAGACATCACCAGACGCTAGGTTTCCTCCCTGGTGATGCTCTGCCAGACCTCTACTGCAACTGTCTTCAGTTCCTTCTTGTTCTTGGGGCATTTTCCCTTCAGTTTTGTCTTCAGCAAGTGAAATGCATGCTCAATCGGATTCAGGTCAGGTGATTGACTTGGCCATTGCAGAACATTCCACTTCTTTCCCTTAAAAAACTCTTTGGTTGCTTTTGCAGTATGCTTTGAGTCATTGTCCATCCGCACTGTGAAGCGGCGTCCAATGAGTTCTGAAGCATTTGGCTGAATATGAGCAGATAATATTCCCGAAACACTTCAGAATTCATCCTGCTGCTTTTGTCAGCAGTCACATCATCAATAAATACAAGAGAACCAGTTCCATTGACAGCCATACATGCCCACGTCATGACACTACCACCACCATGCTTCACTAATGAGGTGGTATGCTTAGGATCATGAGCAGTTCCTTTCCTTCTCCATACTCTTCTCTTCCCATCACTCTGGTACAAGTTGATATTGGTCTCATCTGTCCATAGGATGTTGTTCCAGAACTGTGAAGGGCTTTTTTAGATGTCGTTTGGCAAACTCTAATCTGGCCTTCCTGTTTTTGAGGCTCACCAATGGTTTACATCTTGTGGTGAACCCTCTGTATTCACTCTGGTGAAGTCTTCTCTTGATTGTTGACTTTGACACACATACACCTACCTCCTGGAAAGTGTTCTTGATCTGGCCAACTGTTGTGAAGGGTGTTTTCTTCACAAGGGAAAGAATTCTTCGGTCATCCACCACAGTTGTTTTCTGTGGTCTTCCGGGTCTTTTGGTGTTGCTGAACTCACCGGTGCGTTCCTTTTTTTTAAGAATGTTCCAAACAGTTGTTTTGGCCACGCCTAATGTTTTTGCTATCTCTCTAAAGGGTTTGTTTTGTTTTTTCAGCCTAATGATGACTTGCTTCACTGATAGTGACAGCTCTTTGGATCTCATCTTGAGAATTGACAGCAACAGATTCCAAATGCAAATAGCACACTTGAAATGAACTCTGGACCTTTTATCTTCTCATTGTATTAATTGGGATAATGAGGGAATAACACACACCTGGCCATGGAACAGCTGAGAAGCCAATTGTCCCATTACTTTTGGTCCCTTAACAAGTGGGGGGCATATATGCAAACTGTTGTAATTCCTACACCGTTCACCTGATTTGGATGTAAATACCCTCAAATTTAAGCTGACAGTCTGCAGTTAAAGCACATCTTGTTCGTTTCAGTTCAAATCCATTGTGGTGGTGTATAGAGCCAAAAATGTTAGAATTGTGTCAATGTCCCAATATTTATGGACCTGACTGTATATTGGGCTGTCATGAGATTGGGATGAATAAACAGAACCTGTATCCCCTTATATCGGAAGGAAGGGAATGGATGGAGGGAAGAAAGGGGAAGGAAGGAGGGATGGGAGGAAAGAATGAAGGGAGGGGATGGAGGAAGGAAGGGAAAGAAGAAAAGGGAAGGAATGGAAGGATGGAGGAAGGAATGAAGGAAAAGGAGGGAAGGGAGGAAGTGAGGGAGGGAATGGATGGAGGAAGAAAGGGGAGGAAGGAAAGAAAGAAAGGGAGGGAATAGATGGAGGAAGGAAGAAAAGGGGAAGGAAGGAGAGAATGGATGGAGGAGGGAAGGAAAAAAAGGGAGGGAGGAATGCATGGAGGAAGGAAGGAAAGAAAATGGATGGACGAAGTAATGACCGTAAAGGAGGGGAGGGAAGGGAGGAAGGAAGAAAAGAGAGGGAATAGATGGAGGAAGGAAGGAAATGGATGGAGGAAGGAATGAAGGAAAGGGAAGGAAGGAGGGGAGGGAGGAAGGAAGAAAATGAAAGGAGGGGAGGGAGGAAAGAATGAAGGGAGGGGATGAAGGGAGAAAGGAAGGAAGGATTGAAGGAAGGGGAGGGAGGGGGGAAGGAAGGAATGATTGAAGGACAAGGAGGGAGGGAATGAAAAAAATGAAGGGAGGGGATAGAGGAAGGAATGAAGGTAAGGAATTGGAGGAAGGAAGAAAATGGATGGAGGAGGAAATGAATGAAGGGAGGGAAGGGAAGGAAGAAGAAGAAGGAGGGAGGAAATGGATGGAAGAAGGAAGGAAATTGATGAAGGAAGGAAGAAAAGGGAGGGGGGATGGATGGATGGATGAAGGAAGGAAGGAAAGGAGAGAGGGAAGGGAGTAAGAAAAGGGAGGGAATGGAAGGAATGAAGGAGGGGGAGGGAAGGGAGGAAGGAAGGAAATTAAAGGAGGGGAGGGAGGACAGAATGAAGGGAGGGGATGGAGGCAGGGAGGGAATGGATGGAGGAAGGGAGAAAAGAAGGGGAGGGAAGGAAGGAGGGGAGGGAGGAATGAAGGAAGAAAAGGGATTAAATAGAGGAAGGAAGGGGAGGGAAGGAAAGAGGGGAGGGAGGAATGAAGGAAGAATGGGGATTAAATAGAGGAAGGAAGAAAAGGGAGGGAATGGATGGATGGAGGAAGGAAGGAAATGGAGGAAAGGGAGGGAAGGAAGGAAATGAAAGGAGGGGAGGGAGGCAGGAAGGAAGGATATGAAAGGAGGAGGGGAGGGAGGAAAGAATGAAGGGAGGGGATAGAGGAAGGAATGGAGGAAGAAAATGGATGGAGGATGGAATGAATGAAGGAGGGAGGGAGGAAGGAAGGAAGAAAAAAGGAGGGATGAAATAGATGAAGGAAGGAAAGGAAAGAAGGGGAGGGAGGGAGAGCGAAAGGGAGGGAAGGAAGGAAAGAATGAAGGGAGGGGATGGAGGAAGGAAGAAAAGGTAGGGAGGGAATGGATGAAGGAAAGAAGGGAAGGAAGGAAGAAAAGGGAGGGAAAGGATTAGAAGGAAGGGAGGAATGAAGGAAATGGAAGGGAGGGAGGAAAGAATGAAAGGAGGGGAGGGGAGAGAGAGAGAGGGGGGGGAGAGAGGGGAGAGGAAGAGAATGAATCGCAGAGCTTCCGGATGATCTGGACAGGGGAGGCAGAGCAGATCCCTCTCTCCTCTGCTCTACCGTGGAGGATGGGGGGAGGGGCTGGACACTGTCAGAGAAGACGAAGCATCAGAGACCTGCAAGGAGCACAGAGGGGGGGCCCAGGAGGAAAATCCGATGCACAGTCAGGGATGATCGGTGCAGTGGAGGGACAGTGACAGCACCGATCTCCCTGCATGGATTTCCAGGAGGCAGCCTGAAGTCTTTCAGCTGCTTCATTGAAATCCATGCAGGGAGATCGGTGCTGTCACTGTCCCTCCACTGCACCGATCACCTCCAACTTTGTTCCTGATACATATCATCCATGGGGGGGAGGGGGGGGTGCAGGGTGTGTGCAGTGAACAACCCGCACCATGGATGATATGCCTCTCACCTTCCCACTGCCCACCGACTCCATCACCAGCACAGTGTCCGGATCCATCGCCCGTCTCACTCTGCCCCCACGTGAAGTGACAGGTGAGCTATTTCTGGGTCGGGATCTGAGACTGCCTCTTCCTCTGCTCCCCACACTGTCACTGGACAGTGATCCTCTCACGGGCCCCCTACTGACCCCGGGCCCTCGGGAAATGCCCGAATGGTCAGTCCGCCCCTGGCCCTGGCAAATTCTAGGTGGGTTCTTTTGTTCATGGGCTTTAGGATAGGCTTCCTTTGTGAAAAATACCCATGCATGCCATTCCTCTGCAGTGTACGCCGTATTGTGTCATAGGAAACAATCATCCCAGTTTGACTTTCTGCTTCTTTAGCTAACTGCAGGGACCTTTATATGAGGATTTTCTTCAACCCTTCTCATCAGAAGACGTTCCTGTCGAGGTGCTGACTTCCGTGGACGATCTGGACGTCTCTGTGAGATGGTTGCAGTTCCATCTTACATTTTTGTATCACTTTTGCTACAGTATTCTGACTGATAAGTAGAGTTTTTCTGATCTTGTAGCCTTCATCTTTTCTGTGTAAAGAAATGATTTTCTTTCTCAGGCCTTGTGACGTTTCTCTTCCATGTGGTGCCATTGCTGACAGCATGAAATGGGAAGGAGTTTTCCTTGTTAAGTAACGCCATTTTATAATCAACTGTCTGCTGGACATTTGTTTAAGGAATAATGAGACTCACTTGTAGTTGGATTCTTGTTAATTAGGATTTTGTTGTCTAAAATTTAGCTTTGCTTTTCATTTGGGATGTATTCATTTTTGCAACATGGTCTTGAATGAATTAGGAAAAACTTTTTTGTGTGTGCAAATTAACAAATCTTGTTTTCAATTAATGTCCCACATCTGTGGGAGTATTTTGTAGTATAGGGACCCATAGAAAATGTTGATTATGATAGGAAAGTAAAGATTTTCTGACACATCTGTTGGGGTTTACTCATTTATGCTGTACAGTGTGTGTTATTTGTTTTTTTTTATATATATATATATCACACACTATATCACTAAAAGTATTGGGACACCCCTCCATATCATTGGATTAAAGTATTTAAATCACCTCTATGACCATGACAGGTGTATAAAAACCAAGCACCTAGGCATGCAGACTGCTTCTACAAACATTTGTGAAAGAATGGGTCGCTCTCAGGAGCTCAGGGAATTCAAGCGTGGTACCGTGATAGGCTGCCACCTGTGCAATAGGTCCATCCATGAAATTTCCTTGCTACTAAATATTCCACGGTCAACTGTTAGTGGTATTATAATAAAGTGTAAGGAACTGGGAACAACAGCAACTCAGCCATGAAGTGCTAGGCTGTGTAAAATGACAGAGCGGGGTCAGCGCATACTAAAGCACACAGTGTGCAGAAATCGCCAACTGTCTGCAGAGTCAATAGCAAACGTCATGTGGCCTTCAGATTAGCACAACAGTGCATAGAGAGCTTCATGGAATGGGTTTCCATGGCCGAGCAGCTGCATCCAAGCCTTACATCACCAAGTGCAATGCAAAGCCTTGGATGCAGTGGTGTAAAGCGCGTTGCCACTGGACTCTAGAGCAGTGGAGATGTGTTCTCTGTGGAGATGAATCATGCTTCTGTGTCTGGCAATCTGATGGACATATTTGGGTTTGGTGGTTGCCAGGAGAACGGTACTTGCCTGATTGCAATGTGCCAAGTGTAAAGTTTGGTGGAAGGGGGATTATGGTGTGGAGTTGTTTTTCAGGGGTTGGGCTTGGTCCCTTAGTTCCAGTGAAGGGAACTCTTAAGGCGTCAGCATACCAAGACATTTTGGACAATTTTGTGGGAACAGTTTGGGAATAGCCCCTTCCTGTTCCAATATGACTGCGCACCAGTGCACAAAGCAAGGTCCATAAAGACATGGATCAGTGAGTTTGGGGTGGAGGAATGTGACTGGCCTGCACCTCAGCCCAACAGAACACCTTTAGGATGAATTAGAGCATAGACTGTGAGTCAGGCCTTCTCATCCGACATCAGTGCCCGACCTCACAAATGCGTTTCTGGAAGAATGGTCAAACATTCCCATAGACACACTCCTAAACCTTGTGGACAGCCTTCCCAGAAGAGTTGAAGCTGTTATAGCTGCAAAGGGTGGGCCAAATCAATATTGAACCCTATGGACTAAGACTGGGATGCCATTAAAGTTCATGTGCGTGTAAAGGCAGACGTCCCGAGAGAGATTGATTATTTATGAATATATTAATGTGTGCACATACTGCTTCAGCTTAATTACTGCCCATTAATGATACTAAACTCTTTACTGTGAAGCAGTAATCCTTTCAAATCACCATCTATGATGTCTGCTCTGTAAGCAAGGATGGATATTTGTAATGTGTGTAATGGAAGGATTATATATACATTTTTAACCTGTCTTAACATTTAATCTTGTAGGAACACCTGGAAAAGATAAATGAAGCTCTTTGTAAAGAGTATGATTGTCGGCGACGAATGTTAATAAAACGTCTCGACGTTACTGTTCAGTCATTTGGCTGGTCAGAGAGAGCCAAGGTGGGTGCATTTTTGCAGTTATTTTCTAGGTGTTGCACTTTCGCTCTTTATTGTCAATGCATTGTTATCAAATGTTACATTGCAAGGTACTTTGTGAAATTATGCTAATGATATGATAGCAATAATATAAATACATTTATGTGATTGGTCAGAAAAAAAATTTTTTCTTTCATTAGGCAAAAACAGATGAGATTGCTCGTGTTTATCAGCCAGTGCGATACTCACTGTGCTCAAAATCAAGCATTACATTATCACACCTCTTGGCTGCTAGAGAGGATCTCTCCAGAATAGTGCGCACTAGCAGTGGTTCATCAAGAGAGAAGACTGTGTGTCCTGTGAACAAGGTAGATTGCTATATAGACATTCTATATTTTTGTTTTCTCATGAGATTATTGATTTTAGATATTTAAAGTTTTTTTTTTTTTTTAATTTTCATAATTACATAACTGAGATTGCAGGACTTGAGAAAAACCTGAATGCATTTTGGGGTACTTTATTCAAGGGTGTGACTAGTAATACATGCATAACAGGAGATGTTTCGAAAGCCAGCAAAAAAATTTCTATCAAACACATGTACAGAGAGAACAGTACAATTTTAACCACTTACCCTCTGGAAGGTTTTACCCCCTTCTTGATCAGGGCATTTTTTTGCTATTCAGCACTGCGCTGCTTTTTTTTTTCACACAAATAGAGCTTTCTTTTGGTGGTATTTGATCACCATTTGTTTTTATTTTTTATTATATAAACAAAAAGGGACGGACAATTTTGAAAAAAAAACCCTGATATTTTACACTTTGTGTTATAAAATATTCATTAAAAAAAATCTAATTTCTTCATAAATTTAGGCCAAAATATATTCTGCTACATGTCTTTTGGTAAAAACAAAATCCTAATAACTGTATTAATATTGGTTTGTTTAAAAGTCAGAGTCTACAAACTGTGTGTGTGTGTGTGTACACACACAGTATCTCACAGACGTGAGTATACCCCTCACATTTTTGTAAATATTTTATTTCTTTTCATGTGACAACAGTTTGCTACATAACTCAACACACAGCCATTAATGTCTAAACCGCTGGCAACAAAAGTGAGTACAGCCCTAAGTGAAAATGTACAAATTGGGCCCAAAGTGTCAATATTTTGTGTGGACACCATTATTTTCCAGCACTGGTTACTCTTGGGCATGGAGTTCACAGGTTGCCACTGGTGTCCTCCTCCACTCCTCCATGACAACATCACAGAGCTGGTAGATGTTAGAGACCTTGTGCTCCTCCACCTTACACTGAGGATGTCCCACAGATGCTCAATAGGGTTTAGGTCTAGAGACATGCTCGGCCAGCCCATCACCTTTACCCTCAGCTTCTTCAGCAAGGCAGTGTTCGTCTTGGAGGTGTGTATGGGGTTGTTATGTTGGAATACTGCCCTCCGGCCCAGTCTCCGAAGGGAGGGGATCATCCTCTGCTTCGGTATGTCACAGTACATGTTGGTATTCATGGTTCCCTCAGTGAGCTATAGCTCCCCTGTGCCAGCAGCACTCATGCAGCCCCAGACCATGACACTCCCACTGTTATGCTTGACTATAGGCAAGACACACTTGTCTTTGTACTCCTCACCTGGTTAACACTACACGCTTGACACCATCTGAACCAAATAAGTTTATCTTGGTCTCATCAGACCACAAGACATGGTTCCAGTAATCCATGTCCTTAGTCTGCTTGTCTTCAGCAAACTGTTTGCAGGCTTTCTTTTGCATCATCTTTAGAAGAGGCTTCCTTCTGGGACGACAGCCGTGCAGACCAATTTGATGCAGTGTGCGGCGTCTGGTCTGAGCACTGACAGGCTGACCCCCCCCCCCCACCCCTTCAACCTCTGCAGCAATGCTGGCAGCACTCATGTGTCTATATCCCAAAGACCACCTCTGCATATGACGCTGAGCACGTGCACTCAACTTCTTTTTTCAACCATGGCGAGGCCTGTTCAGAGTGGAACCTGTCCTGTTAAACCGCTGTTTGGTCTTGGCCACCGTGCTGCAGCTCAGTTTCAAGGTCTTTGCAATCTTCCTATAGCTTAGGCCATCTTTATATAGAGCAACAATTTTTTTCAGATCCACAGAGTTCTTTGCCAGGAGGTGCCATGTTGAACTTCCAGTGACCAGTATGAGAGAGAGCGATAACACCAACTTTAAGACACCTGCTCCCCATTCACACTTGAGACCTTGTAACAAGTCACATGACACTGGGGAGGGAAAATCGCTAATTGGGGCCAATTTGGACATTTTCACTTAGGGGTGTACTCACTTTTGTTGCCAGCGGTTTAGACATTAATGGCTGTGTGTGTTGTTATTTTGAGTTGACAGCAAATTTACTACTTTATACAAGCTGTACACTCACTACTTTACATTGTAGCAAAGTGTCATTTCTTCAGTGTTGTCACATGAAAAGATAGAATAAAATATTTATAAAAATGTGAGGGATGTACTCACTTCTGTGAGTACTGTGTGTGTGTGTATATAATACACACGCGCACACACACACACACACACACACACACACACACACACACACACACACACACACGTATATTAAGGGTTAGTTCACCTTGACCTGCTTTTGACAAAAATATTACCAAGTAGTACAGCGACCTAAATACATTACATTCATTTTTAAAAGGATGGAGACCCTTTCAGCAACCCATTTCATTTTCTCCATCCTGTAAATATCAAGGCGTAACAAGCATTGGATGCGTGCCCCTAGAAACTCACAAATCGGCACCCGCCTTCATTTCCCTACCCACACATGCACAGTCCACTCTTCTCACACAGCTCATTGTTCTTGAGTTCAAAGGACTGCGCATCCAATGCTTGGTACATCTTGCAATTTCCAGAAAGGAGATGGGAGGGAAATGAAAGGAATGCCATGAAATAATTGCTAGGTTTTTGAAAAAACTCAGTAAAGATTAACTAAGCCTTTAAGTTTGTTTGCTTGTTTCTGCCCCTTTTGTGGACTTGTTTGAAGGGATGTAGGCTTGACGGTCACAGTTTCTTTAGTTTGGGCAGGATGAGTAATCGTTTATAAGCAGTGATATTATATAATACGATAATACCAGACTGTACTCACTGTGACCCACAACTAAATGATAGGTGCTGCTCAAGGCTCCACCAGGTCCTCTTGCATGACAAAGCGCTAGGAGTGCCGACAAACACAGCTCGTCCCAGCTCGAAACGTTCATTAGAGAAAGGGAGTCCTAGAAGACCCACATCACAGCAAAGCCCTGTGAGGAAGTGTATGACAACTTCAGGCTGGGCTTCAACCAGGCCAGTATGGCCTGATAGGAGCCCAAGCTGAGGCTGTCATACACTTCCTCACAGGGCTTTATTGTGCTGTGTGACTTCTAGGACTCCCTTTCTCTAATGAATTCTAGACTTCAACTGACCAACATGCATCATTCTGCACTGGCTTTTGTGCTTTAAGAAAAGGGGAGTTATATTTTAAACAGTGTTTTCTATTGCATTCTATCAGTATTTTACAATAGAATAGGGACAGGTATTTTGTTTTTCATCCGTTAAAAAAATGGCAATAATAAAATAATTGTAAGGTAAAAACGTCATTTTAACAGTTAAGGTTTACCATGATGAATCAGTTATTTTATCTTGCTCTTCTTTTTAAAATTTTTTTATCGTTTTTATTCTTAACAAAATTTACTTATTACAGGTTTTAATGGGAAGAGTTCCTGATCGAGGAGGAAGACCATCAGAGATTGATCCCCCACCTCCAGAAATGCCACCCTGGCAGAAAAGACAGGATGATGGAGGAAGGGGAGGTTGGAGGGGAGGAGGGCGAGGAGGTGGTGGTGGTGGATATGGAAGAGCAGGTTATAATTCAGGTCCCAGAGGTGGACGAGGAGGTGGCGGAGGGTACCAGGGCAGGGGAGGGTACAGTGATTATGGAGGAAGGGGAAATTATAGGAGGTACTGAATCTACAGCTGTCTAAAAAGTGTTTTGCAGAAAGTTTACATTTCAGCTGATTACATTTGAACTGATTCTAGATCTGTATAGGTATCTCTTTGGTACAGACAGTATTTCTTCTCAATAAACTGGGCATTCATTTTTTTTTTTTTACATTTAATATAGAACAGCATTAACTAAATTTCACCTTGAATGCATTGGGGTGGAGTCAGGAAATGTGTGTTCTGCTGAACCTATCCTCCATCTTAATCACATGATTTAGTGATTTAATCATTGGTGTTCTATGCACAGGCCTGCAATATTTTTTTTACACAGTTTGACACGAAGAGTTACTGTTTTTGTGCAGCACCTATACAGCACTCTATGAATATTATACAATGTTAAGGAAGTAGTATTTCTTTTTTTTTTTTTTTTGTACTGCTGCCTACAGAGGATTTAGACACTAGCAAACAAAAAATAGCAACCAGCCTGGCATAAATCCTCCCACTCTCAGCATGCCTCAGTTTGTTAAGCCAGTGTAGTAGGTGGGTAGACTTTTGTTTTTCCTTCGTGGAGAATAGTTGAACCCTGTTTAATAGCCATGTTTCCTTTTTTTTTATAAGATTATGTTTTCTTCAATCAAGACTTTATATTGATCTAGTTTCTTTGTGCAGCTATCCAAATTGGCCTATCTTCAATAATACACCAATAGCTTTAGAGGCAATACTCAGGCCCTGCTGCCTTGGGCAATAGCAGGGCCTGCCTGGAATCTGAGCTTGGAACACTGAGAGATCTAGAAACCATCACTGTACAGATCTATGTGTGGTCAGTTAGTCCCAGAACACTTTCCAGGTTCTGAGTCGTCTTGCCACTGGTGTGATCCAGCCTCTGAAGACTCATTTTATGAGTAGGCCATGTGCGCTGAGCACCTGAAGCTACTTCATTGAATTCGAACTACTGAGCAGCATTATTACCAATACTGAGGAATCAAAGTGGTTCAAATCATGAATACCTTAATACATTACTCGAGTTGCTTAGGGGGTGCTCGGAAAAAGGAGCAGAAAGCGCAGGAGGAGGACTCTCATAGAGGAGGTAAGTCACCGCTCTGTGCAATATCGTTGCACAGAGCAGGTAAGTGTGACATATTTATTTTAGGGGAAAATATGGCCTTTGGAATCACTTCGAGTCCTGTGTCGCTACATGGAGTGTCATGTGTGCACATTCCTTGCTCCTGTTTCTGTCATTCAATGTGAGGTAGCCCCACCACCACTGCCCCTTATTGCAAGGGACACATTTTTACCTTTGTTAATCTCAATGACCAAATCTGGCCATCGGAACCTTTCTTGCTTCTAGCAGTTGGTGTTTGAGTGCTAAAGGCTTTGCCTTGTATTCGAGCTAAGTTGTCCCTGCTTGAGTTACATCCCAAACAGACAGGGAGCAGTGCTGCTTAGTGAGTCACTCCAGTAACAGTTTAGGGGTGGTCTATAGTGTTTCTTTTCAAGAGCTTGACGCAGACAGTCTGGAATGTTGTCCCCTTCATGAGTTCCTACATTCCTCCATGTCTTCTTTAGCTCCATCAAGTGCAACCCCATGCCTGGTACTAAACTGGAAGAATTTCTCTTTAGTTATATAGAATTTTTTGAGTCAGTTTGCAATTTTGATTGCTGATTGACTGCAGAGGTCATATGTGTAACTCAACATGGATGCTGCAGTATTTAAAGATCTCATAGACCTTGTTACCCTGGCAGCCCCTACATTGCAGCCTGCTTTGGCTCTGATGTCAGCCTTTTAAACGTTAGAGAAATGAACTATACTCAACGATACTCAGCATTACTCCAAACTAGTCCTCTTTGTGGAGTAATTACAATGCATGCTGATAGCCCTGCACTACTCTGTAGATGGGTTACTGAATATCTCTCATTTTCTTTCCCAAATTAGTTTCCTATCTGTTAATGTGTAGAACTCCCAGGTTGAAATGTTGGGCTGCACAGGAATGTAATAATAATTTAAAGCACTTGCCTTTCAAGGAGCGTGTCTTCAAAACTGCCTTGGGCACCCTCATCAAGGGTGTCACCAGGGGTGAAAGTACTAATGTACCCCAGCAGGAGAAGCCTAGGCTTCACGCTAGGAGGAATCCCTTTATAACTTGATGTCCTGTCGTCATGGGACAAATCAGTAGAAACTGGTTCGCCTGATACCACTGATTAGGTTCTCATTGTCTTGGTGGCTCAGGAATCCAGCTCCGAAGTTGGGGAAATTCTTTGCTTTGATTTCTTGAACCATAATCACAACAGATGCCAGCCTTTCAGAATGGGGGGAGATCCTAGACACTTAGATAGGTGGGGAGACTTAAACATTGGAGGAATTCCATGTTCTAACCAACTTTCTGCAGCTGCAGGAGATTTGGTTGTCCTAACAGTGCTGGAGATCTTGGCTGGAGGGCCTTCTGATCAGTATCCAGTCAGTGTCGTAGCAGGGAGGAGCTAAAAAGTCTCAGCATAGAAGCAGAAAGCATTCTGTCCTGTATTGAACGTCACATCCCAGCCTACTCTGCCATTCACATTGCAGCCATAGACAATTGGCAGGCAGACTACCTCAGCCAGCAATGTCTGGACCCAGAAGAATGGTCCCTACACCTGGAGGTGTTCCAGGACCTGTGCCACAGTGGGGGAGGCCAGATGTGAATGTTCTGGCCTCTCTATGTTCTACAACAAACTGGGCAGGTTTGTCTGCAGGAGAATGGAAGCTTAGGTGGCTCTATGGGATTAGTACACCCTTCTTTCCCTGAAACTTTCTCCTCCTCTGCTTTGCAGGATCAAGATGGAGGGCATCACAATAATGCTCAGCAGTGCATGGGACTCTGATTTGGATAAAACTCCTAGCAGACACTCTGTGGGCTCTTCCTGATTGACTGGATCTTCTAGCCCAAGGACTTGTTTACCACCCAGTTTCCTGGATGTTGACAAACAACATGGTGGTTGAAGCTGAGGTTCATAGCAAAAGCCCCTATCTGATTCAGTGATCTCCATGTTAAAAGCCAGGAAATATGCTTCCGATAACATATGCCATCACACTTGGAAGGCATACTTCGCTGTTGTGCGAGAAAACAGGTCTTCATCCCTGAAAATATTCACTGAGATAAATCCTCATGTTTTTGTAATCAGGCCTGGATCAGCAGTTGACCAAGGGAAACATCTCGACACTCAAGAGTCAAACACTGGCACTTGTTATTGTTTCAGGAACTACTAGCCTCCCATTTGTTTAATTAAGACTTTTGTGCAGGTGTGTTTCTCTCAGTGCTTCAAAAACAGCCATTTGAAAATGGAAAGGGGAATATTCCTGATAGTTTCACTCACCAGGTTGTGTTTCTTGATGTCATCACCTCTTGTGAGGCATGTGTCTGAACTGACTACTTTGCCCTGTGAATTAACTTTTCTGGTCTTACACAAGGACAAGTTGGTATTAAGGCCTAGAGCCTTCTTCCTTGCTAAAGTAGTTTACTCCTTTCACCTCAGCCAGGACATTGTGTTCTTTGGCCCTCTGTTCAACTCAAGTACAACAGAAGGGGATTATCCCTCATTGTCTGAGCTGTGCTTGTCTACCTCTCAGCAACTGTGACTGACTGTCTCAATTATTCTGGATAGTCCCCGGAAAAGGAAGCCAGCTTCTTGTTCCACCATTTCTGTTTCTCAGAAAATCATCATTCAAGTTTATAGTATTAATGATTGGGTTCCAGCCTATCCTATAAAGACACACTCTACTAGAGTGAGTGCTCCTTGGGCTTTTTAGCATGGGGCAACTCTTTCTCAGATTCACAAGGTTGCCACTTGATCTTCTGTTAACACTTTCTCAAAGTTTTGCCAAGTAGATATTTAGGCCTCATCTGATGCCAGTTTCAGGTGAAAGGTCCCTCAGTTGGACTGCTTTTGAATGTCCAAATTGTCTCTGAATCCCGTGTCCCTCAATGATCAAGCTTTTTACAAAACTGCTAGTGTCTACATCCTCCTGGAGGCGGAAATATGAAAATCCAATTTTTACAACAAGTAGGAATAAAATTTTCAGTGTAAAGGATTGTTCACTGCCGTTCCCCTGTAGCCATTATCTGTCTCTTGTTCAGGCCCAATTTAGAAATCTGCATTGGTCAGGTACCCACTAAAATGTCTGAACAATGTGGGTATCCTCCAGTTCCATTGGCATCAGCCACCCAATGAAGATATAGATTGGTTTGTGAGATCTGAAACTGCAGAAGTGTGTGTGGGCTGGTTTGGTTAGGGAACATAAAAATGTTTTTAGCTCCATAAGGTAGTCAGGCTTTCATTTGATTCCACTATAGCGAGGAAGAGTTCAGCAGTTGTATGATTCTAGAAGCTATTTGGAGCTGGGAACCCCGGTAGTGAGAGGTCATCAGTGGAGCCTCAGCGTGTGCATACTGAAACATTGGCCTTTGTGAAATAATAAAATCGTGGCAGTTGGTAACGTGATTTAAACCAATACATTGTGGGGGTTTTTAATTTATTATTTATTTTTTTATATACCAATTATTCTTTAAATTGTTTGGCTTTTCCCCCACTCTCCACTCTAGAAGAACAATTTATGAAAATTTTCTGCCGCTGGCATTCTTTTTTGCATCACTATATATATATATATATATATATATATATATATATATATATATATATATATATACCAGAGTTCCAAGTGAACAGGTATTACCTTTTTGTTTACTTTTACTAAATCTTGTGTTATGTTGGAAATAAAGTACTTAACTGCATCAACTTGTACAATATACTGTATATCCAGGGGAACGTTGTGTGCTGCTTTTATGTGTTGTTTTATTTTTTAAAGGGAAACCTGCTACTGCATAA